CAGTCATCAGATTGGCTGCAACTTCTTTTCACTTCTTATAAATTTCAGTGATAGGAAGCTATTTCTACTAAACTGTGATAACTGTAAAATAATACTATCCAATTGTAAGAAGAAGAAAAAATCTAAGATACAACCAATAACTTTCAGCCTGCTAAACGAACTCATAGTGGATCTTGATTAAGAAAAAAAAAATGTAACTTAGAAAGTTTGAAAATGTACAGTAGAACGGGCCGGTAACTTGGCAGATAAACAAGAAAAAAAATTAGGTCAGAATTTTTTTAACAAAATTTATCATTTACTATTTCATTTGTGCGAGATAAAACCTGAAAAGAAGGCAGTGACGCCGCCTCTCACCTGAAATCCTCTCCTCAACCTCCCGCGGCCCGACATGGGTCCCTTTTCCTCTTCTCATTCGCCAGAATCCGGCATTTCGCAGTTGATTCTCTTCTTTTCCCATGCTTATACGCGGCCGCGGCAACGGAAAATATTTGCCTACACGTACGTTAGGAGATATTCTAAGGGTACAGGTTGTTATATTCGCGTTATATCTGTAATTTCCTTGTAACCTCCGTGTAATTGATTTGTACTCATAAAATTATAAAAGCGCGAAACTCATTTGTAGATTACAGGTAGTTTATAAATAAATTACAGGGGGTTACAGAGGCCTCCTTACCCCCTGAATAACCCCTGGATATACGCAGCTCTGCGTACGTCTTATGTATGCAAATATTTTCCCACGGCAACACCCCGACTATTTGTTCCGCCGTTGCGTTTTTATTCTTTTCATACATATTATTCAATTTTTATGTATTTACAAATTCAAATTTTAATTTCTTATGTTTACATTTATCTCAATTTGATGCCACATCTAAGCATGAAAGTACTTGTTTGTTTTTAAAAAAGAAATAAGTGATATTTTTTAAACCAGATCAAAAAAATTTTAATTGTCTGAAGAAATCCAATGACATGATAGCTCTGATTCAACATTTCACACATCTCATTAATCCTCCTCTTAAAGAAAAATTATTCCGTGCAGACACCACATATAGAGATGCATGCGGATTCCGATCTTCACCATCCATCACGGCTTCGGTGGGATTTTTTTTGTTTAAAAAAAAAATTAAAAGTGGGTCCCACCAAAATTGTGATAGACGGTGAAAATCTGACACCGCATGCTTCTCTGCATGCAGTGTCCGCACAGAATAATTTTTCCCTCTTAAATATCATCCTCTATAATTAGATTGTTAGCTCTTTCCCCTACTTTAATTCTACGTGTCAATGACATATTTGAATTAGCCTTTTAAATCAAACAAACAACCAATAATTAGTGAATATTTCACTCACTTGATCGTGAGTCTCCTTATCTCTTTGCTTTCCTTTTGATTATCAAGCACTCGCCCATAGACCGACTAATCATCATCTCAAACTCTGCGATATTTTAGGAGATGAGATAGAATTCTTTCCTATAAATCTAAAAATAATGTAAATCTACTTTCTAAATAGTCACCGGACAAGTCAACTTAAAACCATTTACTTTGCCTATATATTTTTAGTTCAATTATTTTTTTAGATATATTTAAATTTTATCATAAGCTATTAAAGTGTTTTGTAAGAAGTTATAAGAATAATTTTTATAATTATATGTGAACATTAAAATTTTATGAAAGAATGCAACTAATTAACAAACATTTCTTGGTGAACAAATTTGAAGTTCGATAAATTTTGGGACATTTATAACTCAAAAAATATTTTAATGGGGGTTTTACGGGGGATTATTTATGGCAAACTTTTTTTTTATTATCAATGATTTTTCAATTTTAAAAAATACTTGTTATTTTCTTGTGGTATAAAATATATATTGATATGTAAAGTATGCATGATCAACAAACTTTAATATAAGTAACGTTCGAGTTGAAAACTTTCAAAATCATATTAAGAATCATATAAACTTATGTTTCAACAAATTTACGATAATGGTTTGATGAGACAAACTCATCAACATCAAAAGTAACTTGATCTAACTTAAGACATGCACTTGAAGTATAATTAAAAATTTTGTGGTATTAATTGAGCGAATAAATAACCTTTAAAGTGTACATGCTTTTAATCAATTGAGGGTCTAGATGAGCCACATCCAGAGAGCCCAAATCACTTAATTTTTAAATCAATAAATTACTTGCAAATTAAGAAAAAATCTTATGATATATTAAGGGGATGGAGTGTTTTGATTTTGGCAGTGACGTTTATAAAGAATGCCAGTAATAATATCATAAATAAACTACCACTCTTAAAATGAAGGTGACAAAGATTGGAGATCAAAAACAATGCAGAGGTATGAAGAGTCCTAGAGATTTGCTTAAAAAACACTTCAAGATCATCCCTTAGCCATTAATTAACATCAAACCATCATCACCACCCAATTGTTGCTATTGAACCAGAACCTCTGTCGAATCCCCACCACATGTGCACCATCATCAAACTGCCTTTACCAAACCATCACCACTAATCGCCACTGCCACTAAGCCATCACATTTGGACTACAATAGCCCACGATCACCATTAAATCATTATCACCAAATCATTTTCATTTGTTTGTTGTCCAACTATTCTCATCAAACCATCACCAATAAACTACAAATCACTTCCTTATCATCATCATCAGATTGTTGTTGTCGCCCAAGTACTATAAAAGATTCACAACTGCTTGACTATCTGCTGAACACCACAGTTGAATCATTGTTGACTTGCCACCAGTGTCATGTCACGACAACCCAATCGCCATAGTTGAGCTATTTCCACTCAACCATCTGATCACCATTGTTGGATTGCATTGAATCATGATTAAATCACCATTATTTGACCAGCGTGCTCAATTGCTCCTAATTCCTTATCACCTAACCCACATTTTTACTATTCTCATATAATACTAAACTAACAGTGCGCATATTTAAATATGTCTTTTTGTATTTATTAGACAGGGAAAATTTTGTATGTATATTTTCTTATTAGAATCATTTTAATAAGGCTAGGCTCTATAGCTTTTCTCTCTTGAGATCTCTATTTGAAAAAGCTTAGTATACATTCAACTCTCTCTTTATTCATTTGTTTGAGCATAAAACTTTCATGCAAAACTAAAGCACAAATTTCTATTATATAAGAAGAGACTATTATAGTCCAATCCAACATAAGAAAAGATAAAAAGGGCTTTGCCAAAACATAGTTATATATTTTGATACATCGTCTAACATGTGGGTTACGTATGAAGCTTTAGTAGAATAAAAACGCTTTACATGAACTTTTTTTTTTTTTGCCCTCTCCATAATATTTGTTTGTATGTTTTACATATAGAGGTTAAGAGTTTCTCATATAGTGTAATCATAAGCTCCAATAAATGAAGTTAATTGTAAGATCAAATTGGTCGTGATCATTTAGAAAAAAATATATATGTTGGGATCAACATAACGACATAAAAAAGCTAAGGCAAGAATAAATTATATATATATATATATATATATATATATATTGTGTGGGATACCGCCCTAAATGGAAATAGTAACAAAAATTCCTCAAATTAATTAAAGAAGTGTGCTAGGTGAAAAAAACAACTTTTCAGAGTGATGTTATCAATAAATAAGAGATCAAAAGTAATAAATTTGAGCAACACAAACAAAAAGTAATGTTTGTATTCTTATGATGAAAATGTTGGGGGTTTAGAAAAAAGAATTTAGATTATTTTGGGTATTATACCGTTCATCTTCTTGACTAGTAAATGAATCAGAAATCAATGAAGGAATGATAAATGAGCGTTAGCATTGAAGTGAACTTAGGGAATTTCATAATTATAATGAGGAATAATTTTCAAGAATAATGTTTTTTGGTTGTTGAAGGTGGGTGCTTTCTATGGCATATATTCGACGAGCTTACATCACATGCAAAGCAAGAGATAGTGAGTGTTAAAGATTGACCTCTTCTAAGAAATTAAATTTTGCTAAAAGCCATTCTATTAATAGTTAGTCCAAGTGACATCCAATAAGTTATAAATAATATCAAATTTCACAAGGACTCCAACAATCTAAAATTTAAAGATGGAAGTAGTCGGTGAATCCATGCATGAAGGGTTGCGCGCCAAGCTAAAATCTCAAAAAATATAAAGTGATTTCTCAGATATGATGAACTATTAAACATGGGAATTTAATTTGTACAATAATAACAAAGTGAGAAAATCTAAAGCCAAATGAACATTTTGATAAACTCATCAAAGCAACTTGAGCCGAAACAAAGTCTTTTGGAAGATATCATCACTCTAAAAGAATTCGATGAGCACATGTTTTGGGTTGAATTAATTATGAAATTGACACAAAAAAAAACTCTCCATAAACTATTTAGCTTTGGGAAGAAAATCAAACAAATAGAAGAGTGGGATAAAGATCCATAAACTTACTTTTTAAAGCTAATTTCAACAAATCTAACAACCTCAAAATTAAGAAGAATATTGGGGATTGAATGAGTGAGGTCATCTTGCCATAACAATAAAAGCTATTGATTGGGGGAGAAAGAAGTTGTAAGTACATCATGCCGAACCACAAATCCAATATATGCATGTGGAAGGGTGGCCATGGAGGACAACAACAAAGATGCCACAAAGATGGTCGTTCGGAAGCTAACGATGACTCTATCAGATAGAATAATTGTAAGCGACAGTGTGCACTATTTACAGTGATTTCTTTCGTAGGGTGAGGATCAAACCCAACACTTTGGGATTCTTCATATTATTTCCAACTAATGTGCTACGCGTTCGAGCACTAATCCTAGCGAATTAGGATACAAATGTGCAGCCCAAAACCCAACCATTGTTGCTCCTCTAACAACTAGATCTTAACTTCTAAATTCTAGATAACATTGAATGTATATATCATGACAATGATTGTAAATTCCGCAATCATACATAACATCAAGTATGAATACATGTGATCGATGATATAAACAATGAGATTACAAACCTGTGCTTCAAGATCAGCTGGATCCATTGCTTGAGGCGAAAAATTGCACCGTAGATATCGTCCGATTGTCGTTTTTATGCTGCTACAAGCGATGCAATCAACATTAATTAGTATTTTTCCGAACTTACAAAATTATATTCAGAAATTATCACTACATTTTTGAAGGCATCAATAAAGTATTAAATCCTAAAAATATAAAATTTATGAGCAAATATGCAGATTAGAACTATTCATCAAGATTGACATGAGAAACAACTATAATACATCAATAGGGAGTAATAATTACCCTGACTGCTTAATAAATAGACTTCAAATTTGATAATTTATATTTAATTTATTTTAATTCTGAACCTTAAATATTAAAAAAAAAGGTGGCAAAATAATATAAAATCAGTGAACAAACATCAAAGATATTTACACAAATACATATCTTCATGAAGATTATATATTACATGAAAATCTTATTTTCTTAAACTCTTATGCCCTCTTGAATCAATGACTTATTAAGCTAAATTTTAGGTGAATGGTTAGTGCATAAACTATATGTACTCAAATATTGTTAAACACTAAGTGTTAGATTTAAGACTTTATTTGATTTGAATTAGTGGATGGTCTGTAGAATTCCCTACCAAAAAAATCTTATAAAAAGATAGCATTTATCTTTGTAATTTGTTTTAAATATTTATAAAATCGGTTTGTTTAGTATTCAGTTTTTTTTTAGTTAAAAGAGATTCTTTTTTTGTTTAAATTTCAAAATTATCTACAAGATATATATATATATAAGAATGGTAGGGAGCCATGATACGAGCCTCCAGCCACCCTCATTTGCCTAACCACTCGTTCCCACGCTGCAAGGCAGATGCACTTAGGCGGGCTCGAACCCATGACCCTAAGGGACTTAGAACTGAATTCACAGATGCCAACCAAAAAGTCACAACGAGCGGGTTTGTATGTATGTATGTATGTATAATGACCCTAAGGGACTTAGAACTGAATTCACAGATGTCAACCAAAAAGTCACGACGAGCGGGTTTGTATGTATGTATGTATGTATATATATAAGTTCAGCTCATCCACTTAGAAATATTAAAAAGGGGGATTTACTTACATACCAGGCAATTCAAATATATTTATATATCTAACGCCTATACTTCATATTTAGATACAAAACTGTGCATCAAAATGTGTAAGTGGTGATCTTAAAGAGAATTAATGGTCCAGAGAAAATAATACGACAAAGGAGAATTTATCAAAAAATGATTATGAGGCCCACTTTTTCGACTGGTGAAGCTGTCTGAGCTAAAGTCAGTAAGGCCAAAATCGACCCAACCACAGGACAGACCAAAAAATGACCAAATGATATAAGAATGAGTCGATGAAAAAAAATCTTGTTCCTTATCATCTCTAACCACATAAAAAATATCTAGAGGCCCCTTATCGGGGTTTAAGGCCATCGATAGTCGGACCGTATCAATCAGCAGACTCATACCGATAAAACTCAACCTACCGAGTTGATCTCATCCAGCTGAGCAGATCTCAGCCTATAGAAAGAGATCAAATTGAGCTTAGCTAGTCGACCCAGAGAGTAATCGAACAATAAGTTCTTAAAAGTAAAATGCCAAGAATATCATCGATAGCCCCTTTTGAAACTATGGGAAAAATGTAACACTATCACATTGCACCATCTCGCCTATAAATAGTGAGATTATTTTAAGAATAAGACATTATCAAGCTATTTACTCATCTCTCTATTACTTATGTTCTATTCCTTGGGTGTGATTCACAAAAAAATTAAATTCAACATCCTAAAAGGTATGGTGAGCATAGATCATGCCATAAAACAAGAAAAGGAGCAATTCACATCGAAGAAACTCCCAACAGAGACACTGGCAACATGGAGTGCATTAGAGAGTGTGTGAACCAATATATCCAAAAATTGAAGAATTAAATGATGGATGTCACTCGAGATGCGTTAGCTCGGGGAAGAGAGATGCACTCACGAGAGGAAGGGCCGACGCTCAACGACCAAAGAGTTCCCGTAGCCCTAGAAAGAGAAGAAAACTCCTAGTAGTTGGATGGTTTTGGATGGACACCGATCAAACTCCATTAGTTTGGGCATAATGAAGTGCTTTAACAGTGTGAGAATACATTCTCTCAACAAATCTCTGAGATCAAGCCCCTAGAGACGTTCAAAATCCCTACACTGGAGTCCTACAAGAGGACTAGTTCAATAGACCATATAACCTCAAATAAGTTAAATCGTTGTTTATTAAGAATCACCAACGCATTGAACTACCACATTCTTTACCATGCTAAGGAAGTCATCCCTTAGGTGGTTCAATGCATTACCATCGAGATTAATTTCATCATTCATTAATTTTAATGCTTGTTTATGGCATAATTTGCTAGCTCCCAATAGCCTCAAAAAAACTTGCTGACTCTCCTATAGATCTGATAAGGATGGATCAAAAATACTTTCTTGTTCATTACATGCTTCTAGAAAGAGATGTTGGAAGTGTGAGACCTAGAACCATATTAACTCATGCCACCCTAGCTCAAGGGCTGAAGAAATTATTCTTCTGGTACACATTAGGTTTGGAGCAACCAAAGATGGCCAACTAACACATATCAGTCAAGGAGTATAACTTCAATCTCATTTCATCGAGAGTACTGACAAAAGAGGGCCGCAAAGGTGAAGGGTGGAGATTGAGGAATGATTCACTTCATTCTGCCTGCCTTTACAATGTAGATATTTGCCCTCCCCGAAACCATGGAATAACCGACATAACATATGACTGAGGGAGTCAGAATCGGTATTATGATCAAAGACCGTCTCGATATAATGAGCCTCCATTGCCGAATCATGAAGTACCCAAGATAATTTCATTGAGAGTTTTGATGGTAGAGATAGTGGAGGCCATTCACTATAAAGAGTATTTCAAGAGAGCACCCATTGAGGGAGTCAGATCTAGTATCCTTACTAATGGTTAGCTCGGTACATTGAGTGTTCGCTGCCTAACCATGAAGTTCCTAAGACAGCTTCTCATGCGTGGCTCGATATTCTTCTTGTGTGACCAAGAGCAATTCTGATTGCCTTAGTGCCTCAGCTTCAACTACAGTCATCTGTTCTTTCACTACCTTTACCCTCTCCTTAGTGGTTGCTAGTTATTCCTCAACCTTCAGTCTTTCTTCATGTTCCTAAAAAGAACCGTCAACTAGAAATGAGAAGCCTCTCAAGCTATCAATTGATACTTATTGGATGCCTGACACAAGTCCAAGAGCCTTTGTTCCATAAGGACCTCTTTGTAGGCGCGAGACCAGATGACATCAATTAGTGTTCAAGGGTAAAAATTCTCAACTAGGGAGTCATAATACCTATCTTTCCAAATATTGATTCGAGAAAATTGATTGTCTAAGCTGGTGCTCACCTTTTAGCCTCTCATCTTATAGTGGAACCCATCTAAGCACAAATCCCTTATGATTCTTCCAAAATGGGGGAGGAGGCAAGTCACTCAAAGTGCCTTCCCCTTATGACGCATCTTCTCTTGGCTGAGTTGCTCAAACTTGGAGTTGGGTCCACTCAAGCTGGCTGGAGAAGGACAACTCACTTTGTCAATGGTAGGAAGATTGATGAAGAAGGAGCTATCAACTAAGGGGTGGTGGCCATTGTAATTTCTTGTTGCTTCAATGATGCCTCCCCTTCACACCAGTTCAACTTTATCAGGTTCACCATCCTTTTATCCTCTTGATGTTGCATGTTCGAGGGACTTGCAAACAATAAATAACACTTACAGTGTGCTATAACAATTTTTCTCTAGATTTCATTAGCTCTCAAGTAGCAATCCTTTGAAAAATAATAGAAGAATCAGATTTAGAGTAAACCCTTTCCACACCTTCCAAATCCTCCATAACATGGACCACCAGGGGTTTCTATCGGCCTGCCACTTTAATAGTCTCAGGGATGGGAAATTTTAGCATGAACAGTTGCAATGGTCTTCTTCTTGGCCACTTACGCGGCAGCTGCTGCCTCCCTGTTGGCTTACCAAGCATCATAGGTTTTCTAATCCTCCTTGATCATTCGATAAAAAAATATCTGGTTGTAAAACCTGGTCAAATGTTTCCGAGTCGAGATACTGATGGACTTAAAGTTGATGCACTTTGATGCCCCTAACCTCCACCAGCACTTGATTTGCTACTTTATTCTTTGATTTCACTGGAGCACCTCCAGAAGAGATAATCTGAATATAACACCCTATGGAAGAGGAACCCAGGAAGAATTAAACTTCTAATTCATCACATTATTTTTTAGCCCAAATAGCCATAATCTACCCACCAAGATAAACTAAATGATGCCACTCAGACCAAATTGGAATGAAAATAGATAATTGTAAAGCTCTATCAACCATGAGATCCCTGACCGACATAAGAACATGATGAGTCAAAATGGTCGTTATAGAGCTGGATAGTATCTTGGTAGCAATGACTCCATAATGATTGCAGATGGTCCACAACTCCCTATAGAAAGGCTACTGGAGATCAAAACAGAACTAAAACTTATACAAAATAAGGTCGGTACCAAACAGAATAGTTGATCCGTCATTCTCACCAAAATTTCAAAGCTTAATGTTGTAATAAAAGACACAAGTCTCCTCCAATTGATCCACTTCTCCTTGAGTCATTGACAATTAGTTACTTGACGCGACTGACCTCAAGGCCTTTGGAGAATGCTTTGGACCTATCAAGTACATCGTAAACAAATAGCTTGAGGGAATGAAGCAAAATGAGGAAAAATAGAGAGCACAAGTGTAGAGTCATAAAATCCCTCACCCTTATATAAAGGAAAATAAAAGAAGTGAAACTATCACACATAAGTAAACATGAAACTATAAGGATCACATCAACGCATGAATCAAGATAAAATAAAAAAAAATTATTCTAAAAATAAACATTACATATTATAATAAATTCTTGGAAACTAACATGAGAGGAAATATTTAACAAGATGGTCGGTTACTGCTTCAACTAAGACATACCCCTACCAAAGTATCATTTTATATAAAACTTCTCCCACAAACTTAA